ATTGAAGTGTCTATGGTTGGACAAATGGTAGCAGGCATGTTTGATGCTTGTCCACTTATGGGAGTGAGGTGACCCAGTGGATTTGGAGTCACAGACGGCGCAGTGCGGTTGGAGTGTCTACCTCTCTTCTTCCGGAAAGATTCAGATCTTACTTTGGCTGAGTGAGGTATTATCGTGGCCATATTTCCTCCGTGAGATCGATCTTAGTATTTACAAAGTGTACGATTATCTCAGTCATTCTATGGCACTTTTTCATGAGGAAAGATAAACGGTTGACGACTGGAATGAATTGACATGTTGGGCAAAACCATATTATGTCAACAACTTTGTTTGTCTGTCTCACTCCTTGGACGGATTTGCCTACACATTGCGAACAGTACGATCTAATGAAGCTAGAATGGGTTACATTGACCTTAAGAACTTTACTGCAATTGTCTGCGCAACATAGGGGACGTTGAACCATTGGAATGCTAGTCGGCCTCTTATCGTTTGCAAGAAGGCCTATCGGAGCGCGCACCTTGATGAGTGTTTTTTGCGCCAGGGGTGACGCGCAAACACGTCAGAACACGCACACGAATTGAGTTGTTCAACCACACCAAGGTCAGACGGTAGATCTAGATGGAGGTCGTATCGCGCAGACTGTCGGTTCAGCGAGCAATCGACTCGTATTTGCAAACACACCCACACAAAGCGGCAGCGTGTGTTGAATGGCCTGCCTTAAGCGACGATGCAGGTGGAGCACTGGTAAGCGTCCCTAGAGCTCTTCAGTTGATGAGCAGAGCAAAAAGACTTTTTTATGCAGCAACTTGCAAGGATGGTTGCCGCGTAGTTTGGGAGTCCTCAGCTTCTTCTTTCGAATGAGACCAAAAGCATTTCCGAAAAACTCTGGTTTGATTTAGTTACACATGTGGAACTCGGCAAAGAACATGTCGAAAACTGGGAACTGGAGCAAGAGTATAATCCACACAGGTTAGATCCAAGAGTTGGGAAGCGCTGAATAGAGCTCGTCAAACTGATTCGAACGCGCGCACACACAATATTGTGTGGGGAGAATTAGGGTGGTCAAAGAGGGCAAAGAGAGAGCCGAGCTAAAGTGTGGCCGCACATGTATGCCACCGTCAAACTTCGCAGCCTACCTTTCACAACGCATGCGTTTACTGCGCCCCACCCCTCCTCGTGAGCAGACAAGAGATGTGCAGGTGCACATAAGGCTCTCTACCTGCACTCACAATTTCGCGCGCACAGACGCAGTTCGTCGTCCAGTTCAACCTCCCTACCCCGGCACCTTCAGTCCTCCAACAAACTCCTAAGCGTGTTATCTTAGATCGGAGTGGTCACAGAACATCGTCTTAAGGTGGCATTTGTGGTAGATCCGCCCCAACTATACCTGGTACATCCGCAAGATTAAACTCACCGGCCGCTGCATCTTCCGCACCACGCACCCAAGAATCCTCAGTAAACCTTGTCCCTACACCAACCCAGCCAAAACCCCAGGCAACTGACCGGCGAGATAGGCAGGTACAACGTACGGTCCGCTTTTCAGGTTTTATTAACGTTTGATATATTCCCTGACATGCGCACTTTTCACCTCTCATGGTAAACGTGCGCTTCATCCACAAATGTTTCGCAAAACGACAAAAAACCTAACACTTTGTTACAAGAAATACAAAAAGTGTACATATGTTTGTTTTGTATATGGTTAGCAGCATCCGGTTCCGGATTTGCCTTTCACTGTGGCCAGCCACAATACACCTGCACCTACATGGGTGGCACCACCCACAGCTCCAACTACACACCCCATATCTAGTGTAAACCCGAAGGAATAAGACCGGGAGGCATGTGGATGGGAGTCACGTTTCATCAACGGAGCCGGCCCACACTCCTTCAAAGGCAAACACAAGCATGCTGTATTTGGGGAATCAAGCACACACAAGGCGGTGGCTAAACCGTAGTCCGCCCCACACTGAGTGCATGGAACCACTCTTCGAGCCTAGCACGGTTACAAGGACCGTGCACCGCGTCCCCTCCAGCAACGACCATCTCCTAGAGCCAGTATGGACGAGGTAGATACCTTGTCAACATGCACATCAAGCACAGCCACACCTGGGATGTCAAACAACAACCAATCACTTGAAATGACCTTATCAACATAAAATATATCTGTTAAAGCATGCAGATATGCACATAACTCTTCCTAAATTAACATATGAAGTGTGTTGGTTAGCGACGAATCTGCGATGGTACAAAATGTTTAGAAATTATGTAAGAAATGCTACAAACGCGACAAAGTTAAGGAAGATAACCACGATTAGCGTAAGCAACGAGCGCTAGTTAATCGATTATTCAGGTACGCTGAACAGACCAAATAAAGTGGAATGAAATTTATCCAGCTTAAAATGATCTGGGTTAAGGTATGTTGGTTTGGCCCAACTGTGGTGAAGGATCATGAATGCAACATCAGCCTAAGAATGGGGCATTATACTATGAAAAAACAAGCCTTCCGTTGAAAAGCCAGCATAGCAGGCGATAATATGTAATTTTGCTAACCGGTAAGGATTGTTTTGAAACATATAAGACGCTAGCGAACTTTAAGCTTCACAATGTGCTCACGGAAACCAATCCTGGGTGTGCGAATCTGCTCATTCATGATCATTTTTCTTCCATTTAAAGAAATGAAAGCACGCAGTCATAGAAATTGAAGTTTACGCATACTTCCGTTCCTTCTGGTCGTAGTATTATGCTCGTTGGAGTCACTATGGTAGGGGCACAAAACCGCAATTCCCTGGTGCCCCGCCACTCGTTCACTCGTGTATGACTGTTATGGTTGGCATGCATCGAATACTCATTGTAGGATTCGGTAACGCTAAAGTAAGCTTTTACCGTTTGCTCGTGTTTTCATCTCTTATGTAATAAACAAATGTTAAGTGAATCTGTATTATACTCTTGGACTGGCCGTGCTAACAATAGAAGCTCAAAGTCTACCCACATTTCCGTTCATTGCACAAACCAAGCTAAGCAGAGATCATACAGCCTAACGTTTTGAGAATGTCCATCAGTGTTGGTTTGAAGAATGACATTTTAATTCGTAATGGAGGATTTGATAAGCTTTTTAGATAGTCCGCTTATCTGCACCGGGTGCACAGGAAGACCTTGGTTTACGGAAAATAGAACCAACAACCCCTGAACGTATTAGAGCTACTTTGGAGATAGTATTACGAAACCGACCCACATGTGATCAAACTTTCATCAGATAGTAATAAATTATGGATGTAACATCAACTGCACACTATACAATAAGCAATCTTTGCTCCTAGCAAAATGATAAAGGAATTTATTACGTTTATTTTAGTAAGTGTGAATTTGTCAAAAAGGCGGAAAGGCATCAACAGTATACCGACAAACCGTACCGATGCCACAACGCCACGTGACTACCAGCGGCCGTGTTTGGTGTCTGGGTATACCGGGAGGTCGTTTGCACCTACACACGCGGATTCAAACTGGTGACCTCTGGACTACAACAGAACAGGCGCCTTGTTATTTCGGCCATTTAAAACTGACCCCTGGGTTGACAGAGCATAGCGAGGAAGAATTGTGGGTGACGCGCTTGGGTCCACTGGTCGTAAATAATGCGATCATGCGTTCAAGCGGAATCGACTGGCATTTACACAATTTCGTTACGGGCAAATAATTGAAGTATAATGCTTGTCCATTGTTAATTAACTTTAGTTACTTCATCGCAATTAAACCACAAGCTAGTTAGGCTTAGTACAAATCAGGAGAAGCACTAGACGGCAAGTTCATCATCTTAGGATCGTTAGTGGTACGCACCACTAGTCAGCAGCTTATGTCATTGAACAACCGGAAACGATAGCCGACCGTCACGGAATGAATTGCAAAGGCGAAATAGCCCGACTCATCCTCCACTGCCATGCAGGTTACTGCCTATGCAAAAAACAGTGGTTGGCCCTCAGGGACCCAAGAGTAGCCGTGAATGCACACACGGGACTGAGGGAATGGTACCACAGGTGAGTCCCAAGGGGATGAAATGGACGTCTGGTGCCTTTTCGGATTCATAGTTGGCCCAATGGGGTTGTGGTCTGCTTGCGATGAATCAAAAGGCCCCAACAAATCCCTCTACTAATGCGTATTCATTTTTCATCCATTTTATTCAATTTCAATAAAATCCAACCAAATGCTTTTCATTTATCCACCAAGCATGTACAGTGCAATATTTTTACCTGATGGTTGTCACACAGCTTTTTGCGTTTATTTATTTTAGCTTTATTCATTTTCATTTAATTCCTCGTCCTTACCTACTTATTATATGCGGGTTCCTGTATCATAGAACATGTGTAGCCAAACCAATTCTCGCCTCTTTGTTAGTACAAAGTGACTCATTGAAGAAACAGAGATTGGTATATAATTAATTACGCAAGGAAAAACATAACGATTCTATGCATTTTCTATTGACACATCTGCCTAAACCAACCGGCAGTTTTGACATGGGCAAATGCTTCCTCAATTTCATAGATGTCACACAGAGAACCCATTTATATATGCGGTGTTTCGAAACCATTTTGTAGTAAATTCTGATGTCGCAGTGAAATGTGCTTGAGTGAGTTAATAACAAAAATCGTCGGAATAATCTAGAAGTTACACAGATAGAGAGGCATTTAAGACGAAGAGTAGTGTCAAATCAAGTTTGGCTTCCTTGTAGATATTGCGCAGTTGTATGTTCGAAGCTAAACATGAACATCACTGTACGGAATGTACGAGTAAAGCAACATTTTTCGCTCAATAAGTTTGCAGCTGTCAGAAAAGATTGGATCACTCATTTGTCAAGTTAACTTAGCAACTATCTACCGCTGCATACAGAACAAAACGGGCATTTGTGTGTTAAGATCGATCTTAGTGCAAAAACAGTGGGTACGCAAGCAGATCCAGATATCGCATCGGGTTGACTAAGTGGCACTCAGGCACCATAAAAGTTTTAGACCCACCGTTTTTCAATCAAATTGAGCGTTCGAGCTGCCCGATGATGGGAAATACATTCCAGTAACTGGGCTACGGATTCAACAGCTTCCTGTCTCTTAGCGATGATAAACTTCCGCTTGTCTCGTTCCGCCGCTTCTTCTCTTTGTTTCAACCAGGCCAAGCGTTCCTTCAGCTCGACAACCGACATTTCACCGAGTAGCCCGTGACCAGGCGTCGAACACAGATCAACCTACCAGAGATTTATGTTGGAAACTCAGCGTCCACAATAGTGCTTGAAAACAGAACGCTAGTATTTTAGTACACTTTCTCGGTCGACAAAAGTGGATGTTTAAATGAAAATAAGTACTTGTAAAGTTAAGTACTCAGTGTTATGCCTGAACAATGAGAATTTTAAGCAAATCGAAATGGAGCGAATTGAAATTGACTGTGCAGGAGGCATGTGACAAAACAGCACTGGTACCAAGAGGTGCACAAAACATTTCAACCTAGCTTCCAGTACCAGTTGGGCATAGTTTTGAAAGATAACTTGTCACACCCAAAACACGGCTGCATTATGTGGGATTTATGCATATCCGTGCCCGGTGTTGTCGTATACCATAACTAGCGGCAGCTAGCACAAATCAATTTAAGCGCAAGCGTAACATCGGGTTTTTTTTACTGAACAACAACACAGTGCTTCTTTCAGAAGCTCCCAGTGCTATAAATCGAGAACTTTACTGATAGCATAAAGGCTTCAGTCTTCTATCCTCGGTTGTTGTGGCAAAAACTACAGTAACCCGGTATACATCAGATCCCGCTCAATTGAAAAAGACTACTGACCCGTATGCATAGTGAAGCTTCTTGGACACTTTCACCAGAGGCGACGCATATCGCATTTATTTATAAGTTCTTAGGCTATATCGATAAGATTGTTCCAGGTGAAAAATGCATCAATGTTGTAATGAGACTTCATGGCCATCTTAAACCTAACGTGCTGTGAGAAGCAGGAAGGCGGGATCTCATTTAGACGATATGCCCTGTACCGCTAAACGTTAGACAGCAGGTTGAAGACCTTAATTAGTCAGATAGTTGGTTGACTCTTTCGTCCATACACTTTCTAATATTTAATTGCTTACGTTACAGTGCAATGACCACATGGTGGAAAGGAGTAAAAGTTAGGTCACCAATCCTATGATCGATAAGTCAATCCTTATTGCACATATCACTAATACTATTCTCGAGTATAATTTTTACCCGTTTCTACCCCATCAGCATGCAGTTGATTCAGAGTTACGCACACAACCAAACGGACCAAGGTATTCCGAGGTTATGAGTGATGTAGAGAATTATCGCTCAGCTAGTTCGGGTCTGTGGAGGAAGATCCGATTTCAAGAGTAGGGACTGCACATCCATAGATATGAGATCCCAGGAGTATGAATGAGGTTTAACATAGTTGGTTTGTCGATAAAAGCGGGGTATCTGTGGATATTTTTGAGATATAAATGTTACCAGAAGGACAGGAGAAGTTCCGATGTATCCCATGCGTATTGGAGTGTAAGATGATGGTAAGTTCAGAACTATTTCCAAATCAAAAATCACCTCCGTGTTACCTCGTTTCATACGGTTCCAGAGATAAAAGGTATGTCGTGGTAACAACATACTGACGACGTTGTAGTCGGGTAAATTAGTGTAGATTAGGTGACGTTAGGGCTTGATCCCTAAGGCGGAAAAAGCTATTCAGTTATCTGGTCCCCAACCTGACTAGTAGTTCACTCGCTTTGAGTGAGTGCTTTCATCACCACAGTGGAATTTGTCGCGTTTCCCTCCACTGTCATCCAGCGGATGTAAATGTACAACATATCCATATCAATTTTATTTCAGTCTGCTTATGCTAACCGTACAACGCTTGAATGACTCAATCCAGAGAATATAATCCAAGCGATGTTCTCCACATCACACCAGGTGACTGACTAATGTCAACTGAGCTGTGTAATTATACCGCCTTTGTGCGCGACTAACGTCTAGGGTACAACGGATTGTCCCACGATGCACTAACCTATGGTAACTAGTCCAAAGGTAGACTATATAAAACCCAACGTCCTAGTTATGAATAGAGCCGTTCCTCGAGCTTTAAAAACCGGGAGCTTAGCAAAAGAATATAGATGAATGAGCGAGAGAAAGGAACAAAATAGCGTGCTATTTTAATGGCTCTACCAATGTCAATACAAGTCGTGAAATGTAGACTGCATGAATATATCTTCTAGAATTGTTATTAGGAAAAACAGCTGGTCAGTGGAAGTGGGTGCACATTGTCAAAGGTCGCACTCACTGGTTTCGGTCCCATGGATTTCTCAAGCAGCCAAGCCGATTCGGCAGCGCGTATGCGTTTCACCAGTGCTCTTTTTTCTGCTTTCTCTTTCGCTAACTCCGTTTTTAGCTTTTCGAGTTGCTTTTGGGATTTTTCAACCAGGTTCTTCGCTGGAATATAAAGATGTTTGCGCCACAATGTATGTCGGTCGTACGAGGATTCTGGATGAGTTTGATCAGCATATATAGTGGTACCTGACCTGGAACCTTTCAAGCAAGGTCAAATACTTTATGATCAGTACACAAGTGAGATTAACCGCATGTTTAGAGTGGAGGAATAGTAGCGTATTGAGAACACCTGCCCACAGTAATTGAGTAAGTCCAGCCTTTTCAGTCAACGTTAATTAGCAACAAGGATGCAGCGTCATACCTCGGGCAGTAAGTTCGCTTATACAACCTTTTGTTGGAGAAGATAACAACCGGATAGTTACACTTCTCCTGTGCTTACTGCTGCTGTTGAGGATTTGCATGCGAATCGGTAAGCGAAGGATTGGGTTAAAAGTGAATCTAGTTGGAGTATGAGACGACCGCAAGTTGATACGAATTTGCGGAATACGAACGAAGAACGCTAAGTGGATGCTTCGATAACTGATCACAACATATCCAAAGTGCTTAGAGAACGGACTAAAGTGTTCCATCCTACTAAAGGAACAATGGACTTTGGCAACCCCAAAAGACCAGACAATGTCAGCACAGCCTTGTTTGCAAGTATGATGGGTGTATTCTATAGAGAAAAACAGCTGAGACTCGACAAGTCCCGCAGGATGGTAGGGGTGGTAAGCGAGAATCTCAGCGTAAACCTATTCAAAAAATAGGCTGAACACAACTGAACTCACCATGACACTTAAACAGAAATCTAAGTCCGCGTATCTCGGTTTTATGCGAAGTCTCGTGAGCGCAGTTTTTGTTTGTGCTATGTCGCTTACAGATGAGCATTTAATACAAAATGCTTACTGCAGTGTACACTTGCTTTTCCGATATGGATAGCTTAAGTGCCGTAAAGACTACTTAGAAGTGAGTTCTGTGACTGATAAGCCCAGGGTAAACATACCTTGCCGTCATTATAGCCGGTGATATTGCGCGAAAAACTACAGCTGGTGGTCTTGGTTTTTGATGTTGCTACTCAGGTTCAGGTGATGTCAAGCATAAATGGTGTTCTACAGGATTTGGTAGACGAAAAGATGATCACTATAGACTCCGGTACCATCTGTTATAAATCACTAGGGCTTTCAAACTATGTTGGTATGGAAAGTGGAACACGCCAATTGCATTCCAAGTTACCCTTCCCTTTGGGGTCTAGTGTGAAGTCAGAAAGTGCTTATACTAACACTACCAATTCTGGAGCAAGTGCTTCGATCAGCCGAGTCTTTCTTGAACCTCTGACATAATGTCCCTGTGAAACTGTCAGCGGGATGCTGCCCGCTTTCTGGTTAATGACGCATATGAACTACTATGCGTGTAATGGCTTTAAACAGCTGTGTATCAGGCCTTACTCTTTCGCTTACACTGTTCAGCGCTTGCCGGCTGAAGTAGTGATCTTCATAACCACTTATCACGTCCTTCGACGAAAAGTAAGAAGTTCGAGACAGGTATAAGCATAGGATTATTGTTAAACACTATCATTAAGTGTAGCATCAAGAAAGAATTGTGTTGAACATAATACTCCACATGGATTGGATGGGACAATGCCTCTGAACTCGAGACTCTAGTCGTCAATCTCATCAGCAATACAAGTTACTTAAGGGTGAAAGCACACATCAGCTGATGAGCCGTAACATAAAAAGGTTGCCATATTAAAAAAAGAAATATTACAAAGAATAAAACAGAGGAGAAATATGATGTTAAATAGTATAGTATGCATTTGGTGTAAGATCGCACTTGCAGGGAGAATCTAAAGGAGAGGGACAAAGATACTCACAACACAAACCCCATTAGGGTCGGCTCTTTGCCATATCAACAGGCATGTCCAGCCAAACGTGTTCATCATCGTTTGGACCCCAGCCAGACAGTCGGGATGCACCAACCGACGCCAACTTCGAAGTGAGGGTTTTCATTACTCTCGACCAACTCATCGCTTGGCCTCGCCTCCTTTTCCTTTAACCGCACTCCCGACGCGTAAACAATGCACGTCGCGGGAGTCGGTGTGCTGGCATGCGCAACACGTGGTCCAGCCATCGGAGCCTGGTGTATAAGATAATGGTGCTGAGCGGTTCAGTCCCTCTTCCTGCACCAAATCCCCGACGCCGAACACATTTATTGTTCACGCGGTGTTCCCACCAGACATGTGCTAAACTGCGAAGGCAGCGATGATCAAACGTGATTAGCATCTTTATGTCTGTCAACCTGATGGGCCAGGTTTCACAACCGTATAAGAGGGTTAAACGGACGGCCGTATTATAACCTCTGCCCTTCACGTCTACAGCGATGTCTCGTTGGCGCCGCAGGTGGCGGAGATTGGCACAGACATCTCGAGCCTTTGCTATACCGTTCGTAATCTCAGCTTCGATCCCACGGATGCTAATATAGTTGCTAGATTACTTGGATTCCTGAATGACTTCTAGCTGATCACCACCAAGGGTCAGTGCAGGGGTGGGTCCCTGTCAACATTGGAGAAAGTCTTTGCACTTCGATGCAGCAAGGCATAGCCTAAAACGATTGACAACCAGTGCTAATCGGTCCAGTGCAGCCTGTCAAGTTTGGGCGGTCACATATGAAGGCAATGTCGTCAGCATACTCCAAGTCAAGAAGTCGCTCACCATGAAATAGCTTCACACCTTTTAGGTCGCGTCCAGCGAAAGCTGCTTCCGTGGCTTTGTCAGTGGCGAAGTTATAGAAGAGAGGTCAAAGCGGGTAACACTGTCTCACACTGTTGGCGATATTGAAGGGCGGCGACAGTTTGACATAACCTCCACTCTGCCTTCGCTAGCCGTCGCTGAAGAGAGAAGTCGCCGGTCTATCTAAGGATGAGTCTATCAGTCTGGTAAATTCGATTCGATCGGAAAAGGACGTCATGAAATAAGCAATCGATGATTTTGGAAAAGTCCACACATGAAATGCCCATTCTGGTCGCACAATCCACTGACAACGTTCAACGACTTCATGCACTTAGTTGATCGGTACTGTACCAATGATGCTGACGCAAATTGAGGTGCTGCTACGTCCCGAAGTAAGCTAGTGGGGTTTCAATGATGATCAATTTCGCCACGCTTTATATCAATGGGAGGAATATCGGCGAAAATTTAATGGTTCCAAACAGCTTTTACCTTTGGAACTAAGATGAGATACTATGATTATATATGGCAAAGCGCTGTTGCTTGTCCAAGCAACTTTGAAAAATATGGCGACATAGGCTAGGACTGTTTTTTGGCCGGCACCCTCAGCTCTATCGAATGAATTTTATCATCTCCGTCGGTAGAAGCTTCATTAGTGCAGCCGTAAGACTAGGGAAATGAGAAGTGTGGTCAATACGGGTGGTAGAATGGTTGAAGTGCGCAGTTCTGTTTCAGGCAAGTGCCAAATTTCACAGCGGTGCACGCGAACAAAAGCTGGTCAACTTACGGACCACGTGAAATAATTGATAAAATCAAAAATTCTAAAAATACTCTAAAATCGGTTTATTAGAAAACTTCGACATACTGACCGTCGCAACTTTTGGAACCGTTAGCACTACCCAGGGTACTAAGGTCCTTTGCTAAAGTTAACCTTGAATAGAATAAGTACGTCGTTTGTCAAAATGACAACAGTCCAATATATCCCTTTGCTTTCCTACGGGCCCGTTGGCTAAATACTTAGGAGAAAGATACATCACTGGGGACAATGAGGTGGACTTGTCCCGGATGATGTTTTCATTTGACAAATTCCCCGCAAACAGCATGATAAGGCAGACGGCTAGCGACACCTTCAGTATAGTTACTGTAATGAAGTCCACAGTACAGCAAGAATTGTGAGCCAATAGAAAACACGACTTGGACTCACATGGACGGTGACCTTAATGACGTACCCGAGTGTAACGGGAATTGATGTGTTGTGACAGACAGGTCGTCCATGGAGGACACCACTGGAGCGTTTACGTAGAAATTTGGCGTTTTAAATTGTGCCGGATAGCGCAAAAATCTTTCCCAGTGCCAAACCCAAAGGTTCTTATGACAGTGGTCCTTTATCAACGCCGACAGACATTCAGTTCGAATATAAGTGTGTCTCTGGTGCTGGCCACTGGTCTTCGACGTTAGTAGGTTCCCGAAGCTAGCAGGTGTTCTAGTGGCTAACCCTTTGAAGCAAAAGATGTGCGATGGACTCCTGAAGTAACCACCTAACTGGTTCTGACACATTTCCGCATTAGTGTAGTAAATTAGCATATCTTCCCTAACTAATTAGTCCTCTGTTGGCTCATTTGTCGAGGGCCATTAAGTTTTACTAAATTACCGACGGACCGTAGTTGTTTTCAATATCCCTTGACATGCCACACTACACCAACTGCTTAATGCAATTACTGTAGGGTGGCACTCGGTGAGATCTGTGAATCAAGGGTGCTGACCGCTAGCGTATTCAGTTGAAGATCACTCATTCGACAATGCTTACAAAATGATTGTAAGGAATTTCCAGAACACTGTCTCCTTTTTCTCTAACCACCCCATTTTTTAACCGTAATGCTAATGAGATCACAAAAATTCATCATTGATACTCCGACAGTACTCGTCACCTATACGTGAGATATGTGCGGAAAACCGCCTGCACTGTCCGGCGGCGTCAATCTGGTCGCAATATGTTCAACCGCAGGCGTCAAGTCAAGTAAAGAATTCTCTTTTATGCACCTATGAAAGGGGACTTTCAGCTGTATGGCTGCACAGTACCACCTTAAGTTATGTGGTAGAGACAGCCTTGCCTGAGTGGATACCTACCAATGCATCGTGTATTGCAAATGCAAGAACTGAAACATGTTCTAGCTGATAGGAGCTCAAATACTATTAGGTCGTCGTCTCAAATAACCGCTAACGCATCATAGATGAGTTCGGTCAGCAAATAAACAGAATTGTATATAAAATAGAAACGAGAAAACTGTTGGGGTTGAGCGAATTTTGCTTCCAGTGAGAGGCTTAAGTTAGGGAAAGGTA